CTCGGTGGGGGAAGGGCTTGGGGAGTCCTGGGGCAGAGCTGACTTCACCAACTGTGCTGGGGCTAAACACAGTTTAAGCCCGACGGTGCACCCCTCTGGGAGTGTCCTGGCACTGGGGCAACTTTCAGAGACCCTTCAAAGTTGCCACTGACACCTGCATCCCTGCAGCCTTCCCCAGGTGGGTGGGTGGTAACCCCTGTTGGTGCCTGGTGGGTTTCAGTGATTTCTCTTGACTGAGATCTCACAAACAGCATTTAAACTTCAAGGTGGTCCTTAATTTCTTCAGGCTTTGCACCCAAATTAAGAGCTTTGCAGAAGAGATGGATGGGCGGCTGTGTGTCTGTATTGTTGGCGTCACCCGTATAGCAGAAGCCTCTCAGCTCCACGCTTATAAAACAAAATCTATTTTGGGCTTCTGATGACCTGTGTATTAAAATGTGTAATCAGCAGTGTAGGAATGAATGACTGAATTTACTGAACTTCGTGGTTCTCACTTAATGGCAACATCTGCAATAACTGTCAGTAGCCCAGAAGGTAGTGGGCAGCAGCAACAGAGGAAAGGACTTGGGTGTAGCTACTGATTGATCAGATGGAGAAAGACTGGAGTTAATTAGTAGGGTTGTGGTGCTGTAGTAGCTGTAACGCTCCAGGAAATAGGCGGCAAACAAGGCCTTCTGGTGATATCTCTTATTGGGCCAACTGTCTAGTTCTGTGGTGCTCAACCTCTTGGCACTGTGGCCAACTGAGTGGTGAGGGATGGAGCCCCACACCCTGGGATGGGGGCTGCACGCCAGATCTAGCACACAGGGTCATGGTTCTTCAAGCTCCTCACAGACCTGGGAGGAATCCCACAGGCCAGATAACAATGCACTGGGGCGGGATCTGACCCACAGGCCAGGAGGATGAACACCCTGGGTACGTTAGACAAGAGATGTTGGACAAACTTGAAGGCTTGAAGTGCTCTTCTTCAGGACTTTGTGCCAGAAATCTTTTCATACGCTTCTTCCAAGCATGCAGTTCCAATAAAAGATATCGCTAGCAGAACCTTCCTTCAAGTTAACTAGGGTGTCTAAAATCTTAAGTCTGTTATAACCAGCTCTAACTTTGATGCTAACAGAGGTTCTGATATATATTAGGAAGACAATTTTTTGGCAATCTGGGAAACAGTGCACCTGTTGAAATTAGTCTCTTGTAGCCATGTCCTGTTCTGGCTCTGATTCTCAACCAGGGTACTGTGAGATCCTTTTAAGGGTGATGCATACCGTTAGGTGTGCAAACACCTACACATGATTCACAAGATTAAATTGAAGCAGAAGGGCAGGGCAGCATAGCAACTCGAGGTGCCCCTGCACATGCAGCAAGGCTGGTCTGATGCTCTGTAATTACCGTGCATCAGAGCAGGCTCATTTAATGGAGTCTGCTGGAGTGTGGTTATTACCACATCCAGCAGACTCCAGTGTCATGTGTATTAGTGTTCCCACACTGAAAAATGGCAGCGAGGGTGCTCTAACTAAAGCTTTTTCAGTGAGCTTTAGTTGAAAGGCCCTTGCTGCACAGGGATGCAGGTATGTGTAATGCTCCAGGCCACTCTAATTATTAAATTGCTCTCCCCACTCCCGGAGCATGTGTATAAATGCCCTTGGAGACTGACTTGTTCAGAAATGTATAAACTTTCATAGGTGAATGCTTTGTCAGATGCTATGAATGGACTTCAGAGAGCATGGGTACTAAATAGAAAGGGATGATGTAATTGAAATACTAAGGTTAAGGAGAGGGTCATTGCTGAGAGGTGAAGATGAGCTGAAGAGATCAGGAAGGATAAACTAAGTGGTTAACCCATTTTGGAGCATACGGGTTATAAAAGTTAGCCCATATAATGGGGTAAGAATCCATAATCTCTGTTGAAGCCATACTTAACACCATCCGGGAGTCTGTGGATGACTTCTTGTTCCATAATTTCATATTCAAGTCGTGTTTTTATAGTTTTGCTGTTTAAGAACAGCTCTGAGGTCACTTATGGAATGATCAGGGTCATTAAAGAGTTAAATGTCCAGGGAAGATTTTTGTGCGTCTCTGGAATTGGTTTTCAGATTGGTGTCCACTCATTCATTCATTCAGGAATCTGGCCAAGGTTCACAGCAAGGGGGCACTGGAAGCAGGTGAAGACATGCATGTGGTTGGTAGACGTGCTGGTGAATAAATGCCAGACTTGTGGTTCAGCAAGTTTGCTCTGTTTTGATGTGGGGAACAGCTGGCATCTGCCGGGGGAGAGGGAGGGGCGTGCATGTCTTGGAGAGAATAGGCAGTCTATTTTTGAGGTGATGTTTGAGGTTAGGGAACTGCCTGTAAACCAGGACAGGTTTGCCCCCCAAGGTTACCTTGAGGTGGTTTTCATTTTGCAGGTGGGGTTGGAGGTCATTAAATGTGTTCAAGTTGGGGATTGGAGGTGATGGCTTCTGTTGTCATTTTTATCGGATTGGTATTGTAGCGGGTCACAGCAGGGTCTGAGTCAGGCTATAACTTGAGTGGTTACAGTTCTGGGATTGGATAGTGAGTGTAGGAATCCTTGTCCAGATTCCCGAGGTGTGTATCCCGGTTGGTGGGATCAGAGCAGGTATACTTGTAGCACAGAGCTTGGCTATAAATGATGGACCTAGTGATATGTTTAGGCTGCAGGATGGCGGCATGGACGTGGCTGTAGCAATTTGTTTGTTTGTTTCTGATGAACTCGGAGATTTCACATAGGAATCCATAGTGTCAGGACCATTCTGACCTGTTGTGGTCTTTGAATTCTTTGCAACAGAAGAATTGCTTTAATTTGACTATGACTATGAATACCAGAATACTCATGGTCAAGAAACAAGTGAAAGCTAAGAGCTAGTATTTTCTGAGGGGCATGTTGAGTCTAACAAGGTTCTAGCTAATACCAAGTTGGGTTAAAGGCTTTTCCAGCCAGTGGCCAAGTACAGGATCTTGGATTTCAGTGAATGGCAGCGAGAGAGATTCTGATGTGTGAGGTTTGTTTGTTTGTTTGTTTGTTTTATTCCTCCCTAATTGTCAGTCAGCTAGGAGCAATTGTTTTAAGGGTCCCTGACTTGGGTGGAAGCTCAGTCACACAGGTCAGCCAGGGAATAAAGGAAGGGCCAGTGACTGACTGGAGCTTGCCTGCTTTAAAACAGGAAAAGGGAATTTGAAGAGGATCATCATGGGTTGTTTCCCCTACAACTAATATTAGGTCTGAACTAGCCATTATGCACTAGCAGCGTACTGGATAATTTGGGCAGAAATGTGACCACAGCTTGATCCATAGGAAAGACTAGTATGTGGATTTGTTTTTTTTAAAAAACAGACAACCCCCAAAAGCAAAAAATCTTAAAGTAATTCCTCTCTAATTGCTAGGTTTTTAGCTGTAGCCATGTCAGGCCAAGGACACAGGCAACTAAGGTTCTTTGAGTAGATGTGATATCTTTTATTAGACCAACTGAGTAGCTGGGGAAAAGTTCTTGGCAAGAACTCCAAGAAACCTCTTGGAGTCTCAGACCAGCAGAGACTCCCTATGCCTGACAAAGGGTGACTGCGCCTGAAAGCTTACTAAGAACTTTTTTCCAGTTACTCGGTTCTTTTCTAATTGTGCATTGTTATGTGGAGAACCCTCCAGTGGTTTTGATGATTCTTTAATAATACAGTGCTTTGTTTGAAGATGCAGGCTTTCCTGAGAATTGGGTCTAGGAAGTCCAGAACATGGGAATGCTGTCTTAAGGAAGCCTTTCAAACTCCTTTAGGTCTCACCTTTCTAATAATGTTGTTGCAAAAATATTTGGTTAAAGCAGAATTAAAACTGTAAATTACTTTTGTTCTGTGTGTTTTAAGGCAAGTGTTATATGAGAGAAGTTGATGAAAAGATATCATATTGATGCATTAATCAAAGACAAAGTCTCTACTACTAGAACTTAACCTAAATTAGATAAACAGTCATAGATGGTTTTCATCCTTAAACTGAGGTGTATATGAAATCGTAGGAACTACTTTTAGGGTACTACTTTTATTTTGTACTCTCACTTGGGAGAGTACAAAATTATTAACATAGTTTCAGGGGGGGGTTTCCTTACCATTTTACTGAAGAATCCTGACTTCAGAATATCCAAAACATTTATAGAATTTGGGCTTTGTAAAAATTAACTTGCATACAAGCTCAAGCAAAATAGATCTAATAGGTTAAAAATGGCACTTACTAGAGTTCATCTTCTCAGATCTGATTATTTGTCTTTGAAAGGCTTTGTGGAAATGTGCTTTAAGGAAAAATGTGGATGAGGAGAGGGGTAGACTGGGTAACAAAAATGAAGATGGGATAGCTACAGTTCGGAGCACAGGAAGAAAATGTATGTTAAGGTTTGGGTCTCTGCTGCTGGAAGAGATGTGTGCAAGGAGGTCTTTTTACCTGTGATGTCATATGGCTAAGAGTTGATACAACCTGATGTGAACTTAGAGCTTGTGCGCTATAGGAAGAATCTGTTTCACACATTCCCTCAGCCCCATTTGTATGGGCTTTAAAATCTGCATCAGATGACTATTTCTTCCGTTATTGCTTTACTAGGCCTCTCTGTAGCATTCACTTTGCCTGGGCTCCTTCTCATGTAACCGCTTTGACCCCCTGTCTTGCATCGGAGTTTATGAACATCATAATTAGGAGTCTACCTAAATTGTTCTGCATGTGGGCTATGTAGTGACTTTAATCTTGTTTTTAAGGCCCTTATTCTTCCTTCAGTTACATGTGTGTGCAAAAGTGACCTGTTCTAGCTCTCACACATTTAGCTCAGAGTTGAGGTTACAGTTTAGACCAGGGCTGGCCTACTGGCAGACTGTCGGTCACATGCAGCCCCTGAGAGATTGAACTGCAGCCCCCAGGCTCCTGATACAAGCATCGTTCCTTATGCTCTTCCTGCTGCTGCTGCCGTCCCTGGGCTCCTCCTCCCTCTTCCTGCTTCTGTTGTCTACTCCTGCCTCTACACTAATGCTCGTAGTATGGGGAGTAAGCAGGAGGAACTGTGCCTGCTGATTGTGAGTAAGAACCCAGACTTAGTAGGGCTCACAGAAACCTGGTGGGACCCTACCTATGACGGCAGTGGGCATTCGGGGGTACACCCTATATAGAAGAGACAGGACAGAGAGGAAAGGTGG